ATGATAACCACCCATTTCTCACTGCAGGCAAAGTGAGAGGAAATGACTCAGCCTGGACAGACATCATGAATCTCATTTTTTTTCCCCTAATGCTTGACATAATCTGGTGCTCTGCTCCCAGAGGTGTCATTGGAGATTCATATCCAGCCAAAGGGCCTCACGATCAAGGCAGAAAATTTTGTTGCTTTCATGCATTGTGTGGTCTGTAGTTGTTTGGAATTGCATCCTGCCTCATTCATTACAATTTCTTTTACATCAATTGTACAGCAAAATGGTCAGGAAAACAAAGAAAGGGAGCAAAAAGCAGTGTTGCCCTTGCTCCTTCTGAAAGATCCTCTGACATAATGTTAGGGTATTAAACTCAGTTTTGAGATGAAAAATGCTTCCTTCTGCCACTTGTTCCAATAAAAATCTCACCGCCCACCTGATTTGAGAAGTGTTATCTATCACATATTGATTCTGCAAAGTTATGTTTTATTTTCTATCACTGACACAGAATTTGGTGAGTGGGCTTCTGCCGAAATATCGGAATAGAAATCATCCAGCTACAATATGTTCGCCCACATTCCAAGGGACCAGCAATGTGTACTCGTGCCTCGACAGAGGAGGCAGTGAGAGGAATGTTTTGGGAAGTCTTGTGATTCTCAACAGTTACTTGAGTGCATCCTAACTTTTTTTTCCCCCGAAAGCTTTGAAGAACAACAGAACTTTTCTTTGAATAGAAAAATATTTTTCTGTATTTCTCTGGTATGACTTTGCTGAACACACAGGGAAATGAAAGCAAATCAGATATCAAGGGAGGACTACATATGAGCTCCCCTTCTTTTCTTTTTTGTAAACTGTAATTCTGTAAATCCTCTTTTCATAGGGTTGCTGTGTGTGAATGCCTGGTGACTTGCAGCACTGTACTCATATAAAAATGGCCTATGTGAGGATGATACCTAAAAATGCCCACGTACATAGCTGTTCTTTTCAGAAATGCTGAGCATGCTCTGCTTCTTCTCAGTCCCTTGTGAGTTATCGTGGCTGCCCTGGTTGCTTTAAACAAACAACAACAGTGCAGAGAAAACATAAAGCAAGAAGGGAGGAATAATTTCACATGTCAGTACTGTGCTCTGCAGTCAGCGTGCACTTCCAGGCAAGAGGCAATGTTTGGTTTTGATGATGTTGCAAAAAGGCAAAAGTGTTAGGAGGTCAACGCAGTAAGTGATTATTTTCCAATGAGTCTGTAATGCTAAGTTTTAACCAGCATGCTGTTCAGCCTGTCTTTTACACTCGATATGAAACTGTCATTACCATCCTCACTAGACCATTTTAAAGCTGCGTTTTTATTCTCCGTTTCTGCCCCTGACTGTAATTGTTTTAATGATGCTTTCTGACAGCTGATGCTTTCAGACAAGCTCTCGCTGAGCATGTACACTAAAAGTCAAATCGTAGTGCTGTAGGCACACACTAAGTTAAAATTATTTTTCTTAAGCATTCCATGGTAAATTTCTAAATTGCAGCTGCCAGTCTGCAAATTATTAAATATCTCTGAAGCACACTTGCAGAAATTGCACCATTTGAGTATGTAAAATACACTTTTGGAAGTGTTATTGGGCATAAACTGGCAAAGCCTATACACACACGACCTCAAGATATACAAAGTTTTGCTCTTCTTTGAACTTTTGACATTCTACTGAAACTTACTTAAAGGATTAAAATAAGCATGCAGCAGAGGAGTCATCTTGTCCTACAACCCAGATCCACAAACACAGGGCTATGCAGGAGAAAATGGGATGTATTGTGATCTTAAAGGTTAGTGTTTTTCAACAAACTGCTGCTTTTATGTAAATAAATGATATTTGTGGGAGAGGTTCCCTCTAGGTACCAGAGGGAAGTGCTGTACCTATGGTTTGACCAGAGTCACCAGGCTGTCATCTGGTGCCACATCCTGCCCCTCACTGCTCTGTGCCTTCTATTACTGTCAAATGGTTTGCATTTGTCTGAACAGAACCTGTTACTGGTTTAACGTCTCCTCTACAGTTCTTCAGGTCTGACTACGAGCAATCAAAAGTTCTGTACATCCTATTCAACCTGCTGCTCCATTCTCAGTGACGTACACACTGTTTCACCAATTTTATCAGCAAGCAGAGGATTCATCAGGCAGAGCTGTGACTCAGGGCTATCTTCTCCAGTAAGTGAGTTGCCTTATCAGTCTGACTGCAAGACTACAGATGAGTGTCACTGGCATAGAGTAACTAAGACTGAAATCTCTTCTTCACCTTTGAACCTGTTGTGTTTTGCTCCCCTTATCTCCCAAAGCTGGATCAAGTCACAAGACTATATGCTATGATGTCAGCAGTGTCAGGGACTTGACTCAATGGCCCAGAAGGCATTTGAGAACTGTGCATGGGACTGGGTGCAATGGACAAATATGTGATAATGAGCCTCTTAAGGAGGCTGTATGCATTTGCTATAAAATGTCACAGCCAGTGCTGCTCTGAAAGGTAACAGATATTCTGTGTGCAATATTTGAGGCAATGCATACAAGTAATTGTGAATCCAGAAAAGGCAGTGGTAAACTGCACCTGAAATGTGAATCCCCACAGCACTACCAGCTGCTGGATGTGTGCGTAGCTCAGCTGTAACGGGATGGAAAATGCCCTGAAATGTTTTAGTGGAAAGACAAAATGGGCAGAAACCTCATGTTCTCTAACGCTGCAGCAGGTTTTCCGTGTTTAGATTGAATGCATCATTTGCCTTCAAGATATTTTGTATGTGAGATGGTCTATAAATATGATTTCACACTTACGTATGCAGAAATTCATGCCATTGTATCCTCTCTACCGTGTGTCCTTTTGCTGTTAACCAGATGGTTTTAAGGCAGAAGACGGTGAAATCAAGTATGAATGTTTTTGCTTCTGCAGTAAGGCCAGAAATATAAGACAATACAGTGCCAAGAACTGCAAAACATTACTGATTCTTTTACTTCTTTGTTTTGCCTTTTTTAAGCTTCCTTCTGATCCCTTCAAGTACCTCAGCTGGCATGACATAGAAGAACATGATGTTCAAGGAAATCAGCTTCATTGTCCCCGTGTGAGAGAAGGTAAAGAGCAAAAAGACACGCATGGGTTGAAGCCTCATCTCTATTCTATTGTGTGCCATTACATGTTAGAGATGATAAAGTGGGGTTTACCACTCTTGAAAAGAGGCAGGATCTCAGCCCATGTTGTACGTCTTCGCTGTTTTTAATTGCTGGGAAAATAACCTTTGTATCTTTGAAAACAGGAAAGAGAAGTCAAAACTCTTAACTTACAATTTTTCAGCATTGCAATGTTTATTATTACCTCTCATAAAATCTCATTAACGTAACGATACCGTTCTGAACACTAAAAGCATATGCCAGACAAGAAACCAGGAGTGAAATCCAGTCCTGCAATCAGTGACATACCTTTTATTCTAAGGCTGAATTGGCCCAATTACAATCTAAAGGTGTAATCAAACACGAGGAATGAAAGGTGAATTTTAAAACCCAGTGTTTAGGGCTAAACAATGGAAAAACATTCCACACTGCCCTTTAGTTGGAGTTTTAAAGGTATGCATAAGCTGTAAGCATTTTGATAGACCCACTGACTTTTTGCCTTCACTAAGACAAATAAGTTTTCAATAAGGTTATAAAGCCTATTTGTAGATGTTGTCAATGACTGGCAAGCTGGAAACGTAATTCTTTCTCAGTACAATTAAAGTACAAGTGCAGCTCTCTTATGTAATCTCACTTGAAACATGCAAACAAATACATAGAGTGTTTAGAACTATGCCTGTCCTGTGCACAACCATTTAGAAAAAGCTTTTATTCTGAGCTCCAGAACAAATGTCAGTTATTAACCACATGCTGGATCATCACGACCTTACATTGCTTGCTGAGTAATGGGCCCAGAAATGGCAGAACAACTTCACATTCATTTACTTCATGCAAGCCTGGAAACCTATGCACCTATAACACTAGATATATTTCTACGCTTCAGGTATAATTCCCTGGTATATAAGTAATCTTTTAGCAAGGAATTAAATGCTGGTTCCATATCAAACCTACTGTTGTAAATCTTTTCTTTCTGAGCAGGGCCTTGTGAAGAAGAGCTATTTTTCAGAGGAGAAGAACATACCTTGAAAAAAAGAAAACAAGTAACTGACACAGAGAAGTGGCAAAAGAAACTGCAAGAGAACTGGGAAAACTGTGCTGTAAAACTTTCTCATTAATTCTTTGCACTATGGTAGTAAATAAGGCAAAGAAGTGAAGCACTGGCTGCTCCTTGCAGTTAGTCAATTTAAAGCTCAGGTTGGCACCACAACACTTTAAACCAGAATGTTTTTACAAAATGGAAGAACACTGGAGAATATTGTAGTTTGGATTTTTGAACCAACTCTGCTCTGGTGATAAAGCTCTGTGCTCAGGCATTTAACAGCTAGTTAAATCCTTTGCCAAAAAATTGATGAGTGAACGGCTAAAGAATGAAGTGGTTCCATTTCAGCTCATCCTCTCTATCCTCACACCAGTCTGAGCAGTTATTCTGTCTGGAGGTACTGCATTATTGCTGGCTCTCATCAGCAATAAGTTATAGCCTCTCTGAGTTCAAGGAGGAAGTCATGTAGGAACTTACTTACCTTACACAGTGTTCTGGTTTCACCTCCCTGTGCACAAACACATGATGGAGAATACCAGTGTTTGGCTGATGCAGAGCATTGTTTTCCAGATAAGATTATATATTGAATGTATAAGCATGATCACATAGTTGTGCACACACACATCCCCAGTCGCAGAGAAAAGAGGCACCTGAAAGAAAGATTCACATGACTGAGGGGGATGGGAGGGGAAGGTTCAGGCATAAAATACTATGTGGGAGAAAACAGAAGAATAATGAGGTAAAAAAGTGAAAGATTATAGAAAAGACTGTTGGAGAGTGGGTGGAGGGAGTGGACCAGTGGAGAACATGGCTATAGAGATGGAGACTGCTATCTGATTGGCAAAGCTCCAGCCTTTTCCACTGTACCACTTCGGGTGACTCTAACTTTCATAACATTATGCAGTGCAGTGCTGTGATTCAAAAGGAAATTTGGCACCGCCGTTTGTTTTTAATTGGTGGAAGAGCAGCATGATAAAATAGATTGACCTTTTAAGGATTTCTGACATTCAAAAGATTTAATATAGCTACTAAAACGCAAAGAAAAAGTAAGTCTTTTCTATTTTTTTCCCTCGCCAGGAGCTGAACCTCTCATTTCAAGACCTGGGTGATCTTTACCAGGTGGAAAACTCCAGAAGGATTCTCCAAAGATTGATACGGGTCGAAAAACTTTGGTTGGTGGACAATTCTTTGACAGACCTAAGTGCCATACGGTTGCCAAGGTAGGCAAGATGTCCTGCTTGTCTTTTTTTTATATTATAGAAATCAGAACTGTTATTTACTTTAGTAATGTCTGGAGCAAACCCTTGAAAACTGATTAAAGATAATATTTTGGGGATTATTATATGGGGAAAACATCACTGTATTTCTGTTCTGAATTGCCATTATGCTGAAATTGAAGATACTCAGTAAAAGGTGATGTCTGCTTTATTTCTGGTGGATAATGAATTCACAAGTCTTACTAAGTTCAGTGATTTTTGCTAAAAGATATCTTGTTAAACAGTGAAGATATGGTGAGAGGCCAGGTGTTAAGATTGCAACTATTTTACTATGCATCCATTGCTATTTTGCTGTCCTGTGCCTAAGAATACTGAAAGTTATAATACAGAGAACAGGAATAATGATGTATCTTTCATAAAATACAATGAAAGCTGAGAGAGTAAAGTATGGGGATCTGATCTTGCAGACCTTGGTTAGCAAAAATAACACAAGCATAAAACAAGTGTGAGAGCAGGTCCTTCAGAATAAAATTCTTGTACCACTTATTGGAAACTCTAAGATGCCATGACTTCAGGTAGATGAAGAACCTTCCCTGTGTTGACTTACAGGTATGTACTGTTATAGATGTGATCAGTGATGTCATATGCTTTGTACTTTACAGATGCAGAGAGCTAAATGTCAACAAAAACTACTTTACATCCTTCAGACAGTTGCCAAAGTTACCTCAGATTCAGCACCTGTCACTGGCTGAAAATAACATTATGACACTGAGTGGAATATCAGACTTGAGACATACTCCGCTTGAATCCCTTATACTCAAGAGGAATCCCTGTGAGTTTCAAGAAAGCTACAGGCAGCAGTAAGTCTTACCATCTCATGCACACTTGGACATTCACACTCTTGTTTTATTCTTCCCAGCTGATTTTGACTCCAAACCCCTGTTGCTAAGAAGAAAAAATTACACTTAGGTCAGAAAGGGTAATGAAGTGCATTTCTTACAAACTCCAGTGATATGCAGAGTTGGCATATCTTCCAACTACAATCGTTGAATCTAGTCAGCCATCTACAACTGACATGGATGATATTTTTGAGATAAACATGTAAACATGTTCTTTAGAAGTTCTTTCTTCCTAAAAAGGTAAAAAAAAAAAAGTAGGAACATCTTCGATGGAAGCTTTTCTGAATTTCCAGTAGGCTTTATATTTCAGTCTTGTAGATGTTCCTTTAGTAATGTGATGGTAATGCTTGTGCTTTTAAGCATACATAGGCAGATATCAAAGTGCCAGTTAAAAGTTATATTTAAAATAATGAATTTCACATTTTATTTACATATAAAAGATCCAGAGGAAGAAACACTGAAGAGCACTTTTTAACAATTACTATTTCCATGCCCCCAATCCTACCAGCGTTTAAGTCAATTACATGTACATAATTCTGGCACTGCTTTCACTGGCAGTGTTGGAGGACAGAGAGAATCATTTTCAAGCACTGATAAAACCCTGACACATGTATTGAGAATGAGAGAATGAGCCCTGAAATCCATGCTCACCTCAGAAGCTACAGAGCAAATGGCACAGCATGTGGGTTAAGGACCTGTGTAATAATGCTTTCAGGAAGCATTTCAGACATGATTCTTCCTCTAAGGAAAAAATGGAGTGGTCTTAATGACCAAGATCAGTAATACTGATACGCTGCTTGAAAGGAACAATATAACAGGAGGTGCAACCATTTATTTCTCTTTGGCACCATGCCCACAGAAGTGCAGAAATCTTTGCAGAGAGCCCAGTTTCTCTATCACAGGAGGATGAAAGTTGAGCTGTGCATCTTGCAGTGTGAATCCCTGATTTTCAGCAGTCCAGGAATTTCAGTGTAGGCCAGCACCGTGTGCTCTCTTTTACAATTAGACAGCTGGTTTGGTTCTACTCCATTCAAACTGTAGATTCCCGGGGTGCTTTCCAGAGTTTGATGATATAAAAATTGGACAGCAGAATGAAAACTGAAATTTATAAATTAGTTCTTTACCAAATAAATTCAGCAACAAATGCCAAATCAAGGTTTCCATCAACGCAATCATATCTGAATAGCACTGAATCCGCTGATTGTTTTTCATCAGAGCCTACTTCATTTGCAAGACCTCAAAGATATTTGTCTCAATTTCTATTATTCTTTCATCTCCTTTTCAGTGTATTCTCCAGTTTGCCAAATCTGAAGGTACTGGATGGTGTCCCAAAACTGCCAGAGGACTATTCACCCCCAGATACCAGTTTTTTCCCCAGAATGTGCACTGTACTCTAGCACTGTATTTGTGTGGGATCACAGCTGTGCTAGAATCACCTTACTTAAAAGAATCAATAAATTCTGTACGTGAAAACTACTCTTTTTTTGGGGCATTGAATCAGAAATACTACTTTTTTGAGCGTGTTCTTGATACCACAGTCATCAAGTGAGTATTGATAACTGGATTATAAATCAGACATGATATGTATGCTGAATGTCATGGGTTTCACATATTTAAAATATTGGCTGACTTTCTGGTCTAAGAACTCTGTGTAAAAGGTAACCCACAATTACTGACTTGCATTGCATTCACCAAACACATGTCCAACTCCAGACCACGTGTCCATTCTGGGAAGTGATGCAGGGATCAATGTCCAGGTTGCTAAGGGAAAAAACTGAACAGAAGAACCACTGACAAAGTAGAGCACAAAAGAGGAAAGAAGTCTGTCAGCTGTTTGCTGGTGTTGTGTAGGAATGTCTTACCATTTACTAAAGGTTCCTCTGCCCAAAGCTACAATGAGGAAAAAGAGCTGTAGGAGCACAAAAGGGATTTGTCATGGCTCCCTGGGGTATCTGAATGCAATTATCTGTGAGAGGTGCCTGTCCTTGTCTTTGATTCATTTCCTGCTCAATTTTAGCTCTTCTTCCAGGCAGCTCATGCTGGTGCACAAATAGCTATGTCCTTAATGGCTCAGGAAGAGAATGACAGAGTTCTAGAAAATAAAGACAATTAACAGAATTGCCTAATTCCAGAGACAGTCGATAAATTCTCTGCTGTGTATTGGCTGCGAGCACGGTTTGGTTCAATTAACAGAGCGAGGAATAACGAGCGCCCAGCCTTGCATGTTCTGAGTGCACAGAAAGGCTGCAGCTCAGTCTGTGTTGGATCAGGTCAAGAGGAACAGCCTGGGAAAGTACAGCTCTCCTGTAGCTGAGCGATCCAACCAGTCCATCCCAGCAATGCATGACCTAAGATCACACGATTCTGCTTGTGTAATATTGTCTAGCTCAATGTATGTCCTAATGCTGTGCAAGAAAAAAGGCTATGGGCTGCTGCAGAGAGGTGTCTTGATGAGGGCTCACCTTGATACAGTTCGACAAGCTTTCACAGATCCAGAGAAGAGGCACGGTTTCCACAGAAACAAGAAGGCATCCAGGGCTCTGAGACAGGCAAAGTAAAGCTGTGTGTGCTGTGCAAATGGGGCCAGAAGAGTGTCTTTCCCACAGAGAGCTAAAGAGCAGAGAAGTCGAAAACTCTGAGGAGTTAGGCTGGTATGCTGTCTAGAGTCTAGAGATTAACCCGAAAATAGGATAATACAAGGATCAACATAAAACCCAACTGCTGTATTTGGAAAGTGTGAAAACAGGACCTTCTCAGCTGAGGATGGATGTGAGAAAGCACAACCTCTGAAGGAGGGTAGGCCTGGGGGCTGCCGCTCACATCTTACACCTGTAATCAGGAATGGGTTGGTTGTCTCCATTGAACTCCCTCAGATCTTTGCTCTCGTGACCTGAGCCCTGGCTCGGTCACAGGCAGAGGAACAGACACTGATCTGTGATTTCCCGGTGGAGAGATGGTTCCTCCCTCATCATTTTTCCTGTCGTTATTTGAGTTGTTCGGGCTTTGCAGTCCCTGAGGATCACAAGATGATATCCCGGCAGTCCTGCTGATCTTATTTAAAGTGCATCCAGGAACAAGAAAGCACTGGTAATGTTTGAGTCACTTTGCTGCAATGAGATTTAAATGAGATGTTCACTATCAGCCATATCACATGGGAAACTGGGGAGAAAGAGCAATTACATTCCAGCTGTTTGGCTGGACAAAAGCCACGAGGCAGAGGAAGCACACTGGACACATTTCAACATCTCCAGTCAGCTGGAAACCCCAGCAGCGAGAACCTTTTGAAACTGGCCAAACCACGGATAAGTTAATACATATTTTAGGCTCTAAATTAGATTATTACTGTCTAGCTTTTCTTTTTCTGCCAAACTTACACTCAGCTCAGCTTTGACATTCCTTAAGGGGAAGTTCTATGCCTGCCCCATATCGGTGTCCCAGGCTCAGCACCGCTGAGGATGGATTGCATGCCATGGTCAACACTTGGCTTGGAAGGATTTGCTGCATCTGCTATGAGGAGAGGAGACTGTTTTGTTATTCTCTTATCTCAAAGGATGGACTTTTGGCTTAGAACATGAAGGAATCATGAGAAAAACCTGACCAAGCCCAAAAGGAGATGGGCCAGCAGCAAATTGGGTTCTCCTCCCTTGTTTTCCACAGTTATGTTATGGAATGGTCTAATCTAAACCTAACCTATGATTCTGAGAAAACCTGGCAGTAATGGGACAAAAGTAGAGCTCTTATTTCGCTTGAGCTTTTCAGATCTCATTTACTGCGATTACACTCTGAAATCTAGAATAATAGCTACCGCTTTGGAGCCAGCTGTGATCTGCTATTTCTGATCATCCCCAAAGCTTCAAACCTGACTTTTCATGAAAAGTTAGCAGTTTTTCCAAAATTTTGCCAACATTTAGCAGAAATGCTTCCTGTGACTTCAGAGCTGCAGGAGTGCGGCTTTACTTGGTGTGGAAGGAGGGAAGGGGAGAGGGAAGTGCTTACACACCAGTGAGCAGGTTACCAGAAGGGGCATGGTGAGGCTGCTCATTTCTGGGAAGAACAACACCCCCCCATTTCCCTCGAGGACCTCTTTCTGAAGATCAGTCTATGTTCATTTATGTCACCATTTCCTTCCTGACGGATTAAAATCAAATGCCTTCTCCTCTGTGTGATGCAGTTTTCCATCACTGCCATTTAAATTTTGCTCCTCAGTAAAGAACCTTTATCATTTTCGATGGTTTCCTGGCTATATCAGCATTCCAACTAAAAATGAATTTAGTGAATATACAGACTGATGTTTTAATCTATCTGAATACATGCATGAGACACAGAGGCACATCGGCAGGAAGCATGGGTGGAAAAAAAAGCTATTAAGATGTCTCTGAGCATTCATTTTTCATTTCTAATCTATCATCCAAGATACATTTGCTTTGGAATGGCCAGATATCTTGTTGCATTATGTGACTGGACGTGCTGAAGATAAGGAAAGAAAGCCATTGACAACATATGCTTTGGATAAAAGCAGTCATAAAAGCAAATGTAACAAGCATACCAGGGACCAGTCAAGCACGGATAGTAACAAATTGAGAATAACCAGAAATTTCATGAATAGTCAAACTACAGGAAACTGTGTAGTCAGCCCTGGGGAGTGAAATCCAACCCCCCCTTTTTTCTTTCCCCCTCCAGAGATCATTTTGCTTTTATTACGTGTTAACATGTTTCTCACTTCTACTCTATGTGCAGTCTGTTTCATTTGTGATGCATTAGTACACTTACTCTTCTCAACCTGAGCTCTGAGCCAGTTCAAGGATGTTTCTGTTGAGATGAACTGACGATGAAGTCAGACATTCCTCTGATGCAACTTTAATTTTCTGTACTAAATGTACAAAGCTCCATCTTTCTGAACACAAGGAAAGCCAAACAAGACTGCATCTGCCCTGGGGGCTCCGAGCCCTTTTTCACCCCATACTCAGCTCTCAGCATTACACATCTTTGAGCTTCATTCCCTGGGGACTTATCCTTCATCTTTCTCCGCGTTAGCTCATTGTGGCAGCAAAAACCTTCATCATGTTGGTCTGATGCTTCCCTTGAGCATGATACGCCAGCTCAGGATGCCTTTGGTTGCTCAGGATGCTGTGAGCTTTTTGTTACATCTCAACCCCAGCTGTTTGCCTCCTCCACCATATCCCCAGTTCCACCTTCAGCTACACCGCTGTGCTTGGTGTGTTTGGTACAGTGAAGACAAAGCAAGAGTGTCGGTGGAGCAAGAAGTTCTGTAGATTTAAATGCACCAGTAGAAGAATTGGAATAAAACAGGCCTCCATCCTGTGTGAGCTGTCCCTCATTAATCTTTCAGAGTTTTTGGTGAGTTTTTTGTGGCTGATTCAGGGCACAAGAGTATTAAAGAGTGAGTGCAATCTGGAGGACATGTAACATCAACAGAATCTAAAGGCAGGTTAAGGAGCTCAGACCTGCTGCACTTCACTCTGTTTAATGTTTTACTATTGATTCTAACTTGAAGTATTGGCATTCTGTTTCCTCTTCTGGCTTGGTTTAGGTTTTTTTTAGTGTCTTAGTTTAAACACGACAACAAATACAACTCCGAAAGCACAGCTTAAGATCAGAAAGTGTAGATCTGTGCCTGTAGAGAAATTGGAATATAACATCAATTTAACTAGAGAGAGAAGCAGTCAAAGGGGTTGTCATGCCCTGTGTGGTACAGAAGTGTTCTAAGTAGCTGAGTGCCTAATTATTATGATGGTGATGGGTTGATGGTTGGAACTACTGATCTTAGACATCTTTTCCAACCTCCACGATTCTGTGATTGTATTTGTCAGCTTGAACGTGCTGGACTAAATCTGAGACAAATTTCTCTCCTGATACAGTCCTGTTTATTGTAGTTGGATGTGTTTATTACACAGATGTCTGCCTATTATTGAAAAGGCCACAGCTGAGCCTACCCTAAACCTGCCTTTCAATTCTAGGTCGTCCTCACATTCTTGTTGAAGAGTAATGTTTGAATGTTGGAGGGGTTCAGGTGCTGGCTGCAGGATAATTTCAGCACAGTGTAGGTGAGCTTTTCAGGACCAACCTGCTTGAGTCCATACATAGCTGCAGAGAAGGTGGGCAAGGGCTGGTTATGTACTGAAGAGGCGTTTCTGCTCCACAGTGTAATGCTTTGGCAACCCAGAAGATGTACTGCAGTGTCTTCTTTGTGATGGTGATGCAGTGCCCAGTTATCTTCTCACCTGCGACCTCGGAAGTACCTGAAAAGGTAATGTCTTCTGTTGTATTAACAGTGGGAAAAGTTTAGATGAGTAACTAAAGCCTCAGATATCCCAAATACCTACAGTCACAACAAAATACAGTGTGACACAGTAAGTGTGTGTGTATTTAATTAACATCAAGCAGATTAGAAGTATGTGCAGCTGAAAAAGGCAGCTATAATGCAAG